CTGGAAGGCTGAGGCGGAAGGATCGCCGGAGCCCAGCAGGTCGAGGCTGCGGTGGCCGGGAGCGGCCACTGCACTCCAGTCTGGGCGACAGAGTGAGACTCCAACTCAAAAAAAAAAAAAAATTTTTATAGCTTGCCTCTACCATGTTATGTTGTAGGGATTTTGTTCTCTGTCCTGGATATATGGGTTCTTTGTCAGATACAGGTACTGCAAATATCTTCTTTGAGTCTGAGGTTTCTTCTGAATTTTGATGAGTCTAATTTATCAAAATATATATATATATTTTGAGTTGGAGTCTCACTCTGTCACTCAGGCTACAGTGCAGTGGAATGCTTAGGGCCACCACAGTCTTGACCTGCTGGGCTCAGGCATTCCTTCCGCCTCAGCCTAACAAGTAGCTGGAACTACAGGCATGCACTACCACGCCCGGCTAATTCTTTTGATTTTTTTGTAGAGGCAGGGTCTTGCCAAGTTGCCCAGGCTGGTCTTAAACCCCTGGATTTAGGCAATCGTCTTGCCCTGGCCTCCCAAAGTGCTGGGGTTATAGGTATGAGCCACTGCGCCTGGCCATCTATATTGTTGTTAATGGTTAGTGCTCTTTGGTTCTGTTTTATTTTTTTGAGTTGGAGTCTTTTTTAAATATGAACTGGGCCTATCTACTTCTTGCAGTACCTTTTGTTGAAAACATCTCCTTTTCCAACAAAATTCTGTGGGATGTCAAAATCGGGGACCATATATTTGAGTATCTCATTTTAGATTCTCAGTTCTATTACAGTTGTTTCTTTGTTAAGTATTGTACCAATGCTACCCTGCCCTTGTAGACCTTGTAGTTGCTACAAAAATAAAAAAGATCAAAAAATTAACAGGGCATGGTGGCACGCACCTGTGGTCCCAGCTATTTGGAGTGCAGTGCCACGCTCACGGCCACTGCAGCCTTGACCTGCCGAGCTCAGGTGAGCCTTCTGCCTTAGCTTTCCAGGTAGCTGGAACTATAGACACACGCCTGGCTAATTTTTTGATTGATTGATTTATTTTTTGAGTTGGAGTCTCACTCTGGTGCTTAAACTGGAGTGCAGAGCTGGGCTCAGTGGCTCAGCCTGTAATCCCACACCTTTGGAATGCTGAGGTGAGTGGATTGTGGATTGCCTGAGCCCGCGGGTTCGAGACCCGCCTGGGCAACTTGACGAGACTTCATTTCTACAATAAATCAAAAAATCAGCCGGGCATGGTAGCGCATGCCTATAATTCCGGCTACTCGGAAGGCTGAGGTGGAAGGATCGCCGGAGCCCAGCAGGTCAAGGCTGCGGTGGCCGGGAGCGGCTACTGCACTCCAGTCTGGGTGACAGAGTGAGACTCCAACTGAGAAAAAAAAAAAAAAAAAAAAAGCTGGAGTGGAGTGGCACACTCACTACCATCACAGCCTCAACTACTGGGCTCAGGTGATCCTTCTGCCTCAGCCTTCCAAGTAACTGGACCTATAGGCATGTGCCACCATGCCTGGCTATCATTTTTTGATTTATTATAGAGATGGGGTCTTGCCAAGTTGCTCAGGCTAGCCTCGAACCGGTGGGTTCAGGCAGTCCTTTCACCTTGGCCTCCCAACGTGCTGGGATTACAGGCATGAACCACTGCGCCTGTCCAGAATTTTCTTCCTTCTTAATCCTTAAACTTTGATTTCTTTTTCTTTCTTTCAGTGGCTAGGAAGTCTAATGTTCCCTGAAATAGAAGTATGATGTTTGCTGTAAGTTTTTTGGTAGCTGTTTTTTTGGGAAATTTTATTCTGTTTCTTTTTTGCTGAGAGTTTTTATCATCCAATGTATATTGAATTTTTTTAAATCAATATTGTTTATTATGATATTGTGGGATACAGTTAAGGGTTAGATATACAAATATGCTTTGTTCAGGCACCCTTGTTGATAAGAGGTTGTACATTGAATTTAATTATTGAAATGATTATATAGTTTTTTCCTTTATTCTTTCAGTGGATTAATTGATATTAATCTATTGATTGAGTTAATTCTACTAACTTTATTTATTTATTTATTATAAAGATGTGGGGTACAATTAAGGATTAGGTATATAAACACCGATCATGCAGGTACCCTTGTTGATGGGGTATGCCTCTCCCTCCCCTAGCAGTTTCCCTCAACTGCCAGTCCCACCCCACCTCCCCTGACAGTTTTCCACTACTGCCAATAGCTTTCTTATAGCAGTATAATTGTTCAAGGTCACCTTATGAGTGAGAACATATGGAACGCAGTTCTTTGTTTCTTTGGAGTATGATCGACTCCAAATCCATCCAAGTTGCTGCAAAGTCCATATATTTATGCTTCTTTATAGCTGCATAATATTCCATTGTGTATATTACCACATTTTTTTAAATTCAGTCCAGCTTCAGTGGGCAACACTGTTGGTTCCATGTTTTTGCTATTGTGAATAGAGCTGCAACAAACATACGTGTGCAGGTATCTTTTTTGTAGAATAATTTGAGTTCCTCCAGGTATATTCCCAATAGGGAAATTGCTGGGTCATATGGAAGGTCAATTTCTAGTTCTTTCAGAAATCGCCACACTGTCTTCCAAAGAGGTTGTACTAGTCTGCATTCCCACCAGCAGTGCAGAAGCATTCCCTTTTCTCCACATCCTCTCCAGCATCTGTAGTTGTTTGGTTTATTAATGATGGCCATTCATACTGGGGTTAGGTGGTATCTCAATGTGGTTTTGATTTGCATTTCTCTGATGATGAGTGAGGCTGAGCACTTTTTCATGTCTGTTGGCTGCCCGTTTATCTTCTTTTGAGAAGTGTCTATTTGTCTTTTACCCACTTTTTAAAGGGACTGTTTGTTTTCTTCCTTTCAGCACGTTTGAATTCCTTGTAGATCCTAGATGTTAGGCCTTTGTCAGATATACAGTTGGCAAATCTTTTTTTTTTTTTTTTGAGTTGGAGTCTCAGTCTGTTGCCCAGACTGGAGTGCAGTGGCCTCTCCCGGCCACTGCAGCCTCGACCTGCTGGGCTCCGGCGATCCTTCTGCCTTAGCCTTCCAAGTAGCTGGAACTACAGGCGTGCACTACCACGCCCGGCTAATTTTTGATTTATTGTAGAGATGAGGTCTCGCCAAGTTGCCTAGGCGGGTCAGAGTCTATCTGATTTCTTAACATATTGACCTTTAGGGTTCTGAATAGGAATTGGTTCCCAGTTCCAATTTCCATGAGGGTGTCTCTCCTGCACTTTCTAAGTTTCTTATAAGTTTGAGGTTTTACGTTTAGGTCTTTGATCCCTTTAGAGTTAATTTTTGTGTATGGTGTTAGGTAGGGGTCCTGTTTCAGTCTTCTGCATGTGGTCAGCCAGTTTTCCCAGCACCATTTACTGATAGGTTCTCCTCTCCCCAGTGGTTGTTGTTGGAGGCTTTGTCAAAGATGAGCTGGTTGAGGAATTGAGGCTTTGCTTCTGGAATCTCTATCCTGTTCCATTGGTCTATGTGCCTGTTATTGTATCAATACCAGACTGTTTTGATTACTGTAACCTTATAGTAAAGTTTCAAGTCTGGAAGTGTGATCCCTCCTGCTTTATTTCTTTTGCTAAGGATTGTTTTGGCTATTCGTGGTCGTTTATGTTTCCATATGAATTTCTGTATTGTCATTTCCAGGTCTGAGAAGAATGATGTTGATAACTTAATGGGTATTACATTGAATCTGTAGCTTGTCTTTGGTAGGATGGGCATCTTAACAATGTTGATTTTTCCTATCCATGAGCATGGAATAATTTTCCATTTGTTTGTGTCTTCTTGGATTTCTTTGAGCAGTGTTTTGTAATTCTCATTGCCTAGGCTGGAGTGCAGTGGCACGTTCATGACTACCACAGCCTCGACCTGCTGGGCTCAGGTGATCCTTCCGCCTCAGCCTTCCAAGTAGTTGGAACTACAGGTATGCGCCACCACACCTGGCTAATTTTTTTATTTTTATTGTGGAGATTAGGTCTTGCCAAGTTGCTCAGGTTGGTCTCAAACCCGTGGGCTCAGATAGTCCTCTCACCTTGGCCTACCAAAGTGCTGGGATTATAGATGTGAGCCACTGCACCCGGCCAACATTTTGGTTTTAAATATTAAACCAAGCCGGGCTCGGTGGCTCAGCCTGTAATCCCGCGCCTTTGGGAGGCTGAGGTGAGTGGATTGCCTGAGCCCGCAGGTTCAGACCTGCCTGGGCAACTTGGCGAGACATCATCTCCACAATAAATAAAAAAAAATTAGCCGGGTGTCGTAGCGCGTGCCTGTAGTTCCAGCTACTTGGAAGGCTGAGATGGAAGGATCACCGGAGCCCAGCAGCTCGAGGCTGCGGTGGCCAGGAGCGGCCACTGCACTCCAGTCTGGGCGACAGAGTGAGACTCCAACTCAAAAATAAATAAATAAATAGATAGATAGATAGATAGATAGATAGATTAAACCAGATTTTTTTCCAGGGAAAAAAAATCATGTTTGGTACTGATGTTCTATCCTTTTAAAATACATTTCATGATAAATTGTTTGGAATTTTCATGTTTTTGTTCTTGAGAATCTGTTATTTTACTTTCTTATAATATATTTGTTAGGTTTTATATTCATTTTATCCTAGCCTCAAAAAACATGGTGTTTTCTCTTTGTCTATTCTCTGTGTAAGTTGGTGTTATTTATTCTTTAATTGCTTTTAAAATTTCCTCAGTAAATTTTATCTAGGTTTGGATATTCTTTTTTTTTTTTTTTTTTTTTGAGTTGAAGTCTCACTCTGTTGCCCAGACTGGAGTGCAGTGGCACAGTCACGGCCACCACAGCCTCAACCTCCTGGGCTCAGGTGATCCTTCCACCTCAGCCTTCCAAGTAGTTGGAACTGCAGGTGTGCGCTATCATGCCCAGATAACTTTTTGATTTATTGTAGAGATAAGGTCTTACCAAGTTGCCCAGACTGGTCTGGAACCCTTGGGATTAGGCAGTCCTCTCGCCTTGTCCTCCCCAAGTGCTGGAATTACAGGCTTGAGTTACCGCGCACAGCCTATTTTGTTTGTTTTGTTTTTGAGTTGGAGTCTTACTCTGTCCCCCAGCCTGGAGTGCATTGGTACGCTCACGGCCACCTCAACCTGTTGGGCTCAGGTGATCCTTCTGCCTCAGCCTTCCAAATAGCTGGAACTACAGTCATGTGCCACCACGCCTGGCTAATTTTTGATTTATTGTAGAGATGAGGTCTCGCCAAGTTTCCCAGGCTGACCTCAAACCCATGGGCTCAGACAGTCCTTTCACCTTGGCCTCCCAGAGTGGTGGGATTATAGGCGTGAGCCACCACGCCTGTCCTTGGGTTTGGATATTCTTTATGGAAAGTTTTAAAATTATAGATTTAATTTCTCTATATTAGTGAAATTATTTTTTAGAACATGATATAAATTGTAGTTGTTTCTTTCTGCTTTGTCAGTGGTCATTCTCAGGCGAGTGGCAGATGGTGTTTGTTCCAGTGCAAAGCTATGGCTCACACACACCATTCAGATAATCTCAGTCACATGGAAGGTTTTTCACAGTTCACTTTGCTTTCTGTCTTTGTATCTCCATGCTTGATCTGCAGGAAAAGCCAGAGATCAGCATCTTGGTAGAACTTTACTCCACTACTTAACTTTACTCCACTACTTAATATTCGCGGTCAGCAGTGACCTCTAGTGGTGAAGTGTCGATCTTCATATCACATGACCTAGCCACATTTGACACCGTGGATTACAGGTGTGTCTCATTTTATTGCATCTGGCTTTATTGTGCTTTGCAGATAGTGCATTTTACAAATTGAAGGTTTATAAAAATTATGCGTTGAGCAAGTCTGTTGATGCCATTTTTCTCTTTTTTTGAGTCGGAGTCTCATTCTTGCCCAGGCTAGAGTGCACTGATACACTCACGGCCACCGCAGCCTCGACCTGCTGGACTCAGGCGATCTTTCTTTCTCAGCCTTCCAAGTAGCTGGAACCACAGGCGCACAGCACCACGCCCAGCTAATTTTTTGATTTATTGTAGAGATGATGTCTCACTAAGTTGCTCACACTGGGATGCCATTTTTCTAACAGCATGTGTTCATGTTGTGTCCTTGTGTTACATATTGGTAATTCTTCCAATATTTCAAACTTTTTCATTATTATCATATCTGATATGATAATCTGTGATCAGTGATCTTTGATGTTACTGTTGTTATTATTTTGGGACATCACAGATCTCATTCATATAAGATGGTGCACTTAGTCAGTAAATGTGTATGTTTGACTGCTCCACCGACTGGTTATTCCCTTGTCTTTCTCCCTTTCCTCAGGCCTCTCTATTTCCTGAGATACAAAATTATTTATATTAGGCCTATTAATAATCCTACAATGGTCTCTGAGTGTTCAAGTGAAAGGAAGAGCCTCTCACTTTAAATAAAAAACTAGGTATGATTAAGTATAGTGAGGATGGCATGTCAAAAGCCGAGACAGGCTGAAAACTAGGCTTCTTGTGTCAAATAATTAGCCAAATTGTGCATGCAAAGGAAAAGTTCTTGAAGGAAATTAAACGTGCATCTCCAGTGAAGACATGAAGGATAAGAAGGTGAAACAGCATTGCTTTGCTAGATTCTGGTGTGGCCATGTGCTGTTTGGACTGTGGCTGTTGCCATGCTTCCTGACTTTGCCCCCTCTCCCACCTTGGGGAGGTGAATCTTCTTTCTCTCTCTCTCTCTCTAATTAACTTTTTTTTTTTTTTTTTTTTTTTGAGTTGGAGTCTACTCTGTCACCCAGATTGGAGTGCAGTGGCCGCTCCTGGCCACTGCAGCCTCGACCTGCTGGGCTCCGGCGATCCTTCCACCTCAGCCTTCCAAGTAGCTGGAATTACAGGTGCGCACTACCATGCCCAGTTAATTTTTTATTCATTGTAGAGATGGGGTCTTGCCAAGTTGTCCAGGCGGGTCTCGAACCCGCGGGCTCAGGCAGTCCACTCACCTCAGCCTCCCAAGGCGTGGGATTACAGGCTGAGCCACTGAGCCCAGCTAATTAACTTTTAAATAAGCTATATTTTCTAATCTAAAAAAAAAAGAAAGTGAAATAGCCTTATTGTTGATATATCAGGAGACAGTTTTAGTTGTCTGGATAGAAGATTAAACCAGCCACAATGATCCCTTAAGTCAGAGCAGGGCTTGAACTCTCTTCAATTCTAAGACTGATAGAGGCAAGGAAGCAGCAGAACAAAGTTTGAAGCTAGTAGAGATTGGTTGGTTCATGAAGTTTAAGGAAAGAAGCTGTCTCTATAGCATAAAAATGCCAGGTGAAGCAGCAAGTGCTGCTACAGAAGCTGCAAAAAGTTATCCAGAAAATCAAGCTAAGATAATTGATGAGGGTGGCTACGCCAGATAACAGATTCCCAATGTAGATGAAACAGCCTTCTATTGGAAGAAGATGCCATCTAGGATTTTAACTGCTAGGGAGAAGCTTTGTCCTTCAAAGCTTCAAAGGACAGGCTGAGTCTTTTGTTAGGAACTAATGCAGCTAGTGACTTTAAGTTGAAGCCAATGTTTATTTACCATTCCAAAAATCCTAGAGTCCTTAAGAATTATGCGAAATCTACTCAGTCTCTGTTTTATAAATGGAACAACAAAGTCTGGAGGACAGCACATCTGTTTACAGCATGGTTTACTGGGTATTGTAAGTGCACTTTTGAGACCTACTGATGGATCTGGGCAAAGTAAATTGAAAAACTTTGGAAAGAATTTACCATTCTGGATGCCAGTAAGACCATTTGTGATTTATGGGAAGAGTTCCAAATATCAACATTATTACATGGTGTCTATATTTTGCCTCCACCGAAAGTTTAAGGCTGCAAATTCTTTTTTAAAATTTTTATTATTTTTTTGAGTTGGAGTCTCACTCTGTCACCCAGATTGGAGTGCAGTGGCCGTTCCCGGCCACCGCACCCTTCACCTGTTGGGCTCCGGCTATCCTTCCACCTCAGCCTTCCAAGTAGCTGGAACTACAGGCGCACGCTACCATGCCCGGCTAGTTTTTTTTTTTTATTTATTGTAGAGATGAGGTCTTGCCTGCCCAGGCGGGTCTCGAACCCGCGGGCTCAGGCAATCCACTCACCTCAGCCTCCCAAAGGCACGGGATTACAGGCTAAGCCACTGAGCCCAGTTTCAGAAGTGTTTCTAAGCCCAATTTCAGAAGTGTTTTTAATAAGCTGGAAATGTTTACTGTTTTATTTTTTTTTTTGAGTTGTTGTCTCACTCTGTTGCCAAGGCTGGAGGGCAGTGGCACACTCAACCACCCCAGTGTTGACCTGCTGGGCTCCAGCGATCCTTCCGCCTCAGCCTGCCAAGTAGCCGGAACTATAGGCACACGCTACCACACCTGGCTAAGTTTTGATTTATTGTAGAGACGAAGTCTCGCCAAGTTGCCCAGGTTGGTCTTGAACCTGCAGGCTCAAGCAATTCACTTGCCTTGGCCTCCCAAAGTGCTGGGATTACAGGCTGAGCCACTGAGCCTGGCCATGTTTACTGTTTTAAGTGCTCGGGAATGAAGGCCCCATCCTCTTGGGACCTCCCATGTGGACTTGGAAGTCTCTATTCTGTCTTATATTCTGGGACATTTGCACAATTTTTCATTTGTGTCCATTCTATTTCAGGCATTTCAGTTGAGAGTTTGACTTTGGTTTTCACAATTCAGCAGTCAAGTTTTTTTAATTTTTGAGAATTCTTTCTTGCTCTTTGATAGCTCCCTGTAATTGAAGTCAGCTCTTCATTAAGCAATTTTCTATTCATATCTGTAAGAGAACCAAGTAGAATTCAAAGCAGATTTTCTTCCATTTCTTGCTATAACTTTGTTTTTTTCCCCCCCATATTCTGTTGTTTTGATCATCTTATTTCTTACTGTTATGTCCTTGGCTTTCCTAATAGCTCTGATTTTTCATTGCCAATTCATTTTCCATAATTGAAGAACTTTATGTTTAGTGTAGGTTGCTAATTTTATTTTTACGTTTCAGAGAATTTTGTTCTCATTTTTCATGGCCTGTATTTCTCCTATTTCTCCAGGCCCCTGTGTGGGATTCCTTCAGATCCTGTATTTGTTCTTCTGCCTCCTCGGCCTTTTTCTTTGGGAACCACCTGATTTCACTGCTGGTTTCACCAGCCACCAAGATGCCAGTGACTCTCCAGTCCTCACCTTCAGTTTAGGCTCTTCTCCTGAGTTCCAGAACCACATGTCCAGCTGCCTCTTGGAGACCCCTACCTGCCCGTTCCGCAGACACTTCAAATGCAACATGTCTGTGACCTCGCTAACCCTTATGTTCTCCCCAACCTCTTTCTTTCCACTTACTAGTCTTTGCAAATGGCACCTGGATTTACTTGGATGTTTACTTAAAAAAAACCCTGGGAGATAATTTCTGTTTCCCTCTGTATCATGAGTTAGGAACCTGATTTTCTTGGAGATTTTTCTGTAGGGTCAGGTCACTATATTAGCTTCCCACCTTAATTAGATGGTCAACTCTCATCTTGGTCTTTGCCCTCTATTTCCCTATAATCCATTCTCCACCATTCTTCTCCATCAGTGCTGATCAATAGAAGATATTATTTAACAAAAATAAAAAATACAAATAAGATTAGCTGGGTGTGGTGGCATGTGCCTATAAGTCCCAGCTACTTAGGTGACTGAGTGGGGAGGATTGCTTGAGCCCAGGGGTTCAAGGCTGCAGTGAGTTGTGATCATGCCACTACACTCCAACCTGGGTGACAGAGTGAGACCCTGTGTGAAAAAAAAAAAAATTAAAAGCTCTATGAATAGAATCTTGTGTGCTTTTTGATTTTAACTCTTTGAAATCTGGTGTGAATATTATAATTATAGCACACCTTAGTTTGGCCTAGCTACATTTCCAGTGCTTAATAACCCATTTGGTTAGGGACTACCATAGTGGTTAACAAAACTCTGTATCATTGCTCCTGAAATGCACACTTGGACACATATCTCTAGTGTTTATTTCACCTTTTTGTTGAGTATTATTTTCATCCAAAAGTGGGATGTACACCCTGTTGTGGACCTGAGCATCACCCAGGAACTTGTTGGCAGTACAGAATAAGTTATTCAAGTGGCAATTCCTCGTGTATTTAGGTTGTATTTTATGAGATTAATTTGAAATTTTGATGTGATGTCTTGCTTTTCTTGCCTATTTTCTAAATCAGGTTTAGCAAATTGTGACACACAGGCCAAATTTGACATGCCACTTGTCTTTGTAAGTAAAGTTTTACTGGAAAGCAGATAACCCCATATGCTTACATATCAGAGTCGAGTAGTTGTAACAGACTGAATGGCTTTCAAAGCCTAAAATATTTACTGTCAGGCCCTTTGAAGACAAGTTTTTCAAATATGCTCTAGATCACTGGATTTCAGGCTTTAGTGTTTATCAGAATCACTTGAACGGCTTGTTAAAATACTGTTTGCAGCCGGCCTTGGTGGCTCAGCCTGTAATCTCGTGCTTTGGGAGGCTGAGGTGAGTGGATTGCCTGAGTCCGCGGGTTTTGAGACCCACCTGGGCAACTTGGCGAGACCTCATCTCTACAATAAATCAAAAAATTGGGCGGGTGTGGTAGCATGCGCCTGTAGTTACAGTTACTTGGAAGGCTGAGGCAGAAGGATTGCCGGAGCCCAGCAGGTCGAGGTTGTGGTGGCTGGGAGTATGCCACTGCACTCCAGTCTGGGCGACAGAGTGAGACTCCAACTCAAAAACAAATAAATAAATAAATACTATTTGCTAGGCCCTGCCCTCAAAATTATCTATGTACATATATTAGTTAATTAGTGCTGTATAAGAAATTGCTCCAGGCTGGGCATGGTGGCTCAAGCCAGCACTTTGGGAGGCCAAAGTGAAGGCATTGCCTAAGCCCACGGGTTCAAGAACAGCCTGGGCAGCTTGGCGAGACCTTATCTCTACAATAAATAAAAAAACTAGCCAGTGTGGTAGTTCCGGCTACTTAGAAGGCTGAGGCAGAAGCTTCACCTGAGCCCAGCAGGTCAACGCTGGGATGGTCATGAGCATGCCACTGCACTCCAGCTGGGTGACAGAGTGAGACTCCAGCTCAAAAAAAAAAAAAAAAAAAAAAAAGAAATTGCCCCAAAACTTAGTGGTTTAAGACAGCAACATACATTTATTGTCTCACGTAGCTTTTGTGGGTTAGATACTTATAAGTGACTTGGCAGAGTGGTTCTGGCTTGGGGTGTCATGTGACTGCAGCCATCTTTAGACTTGACTGAAGCTAGAGGATTGGCTTCTATGATGGTTCGCTCACATGGCTGGCAAGTTAGTGCTGATATTTGACAAGAACCCTCATTTCTTGGCCATGTGGACTTCTCCATAGGGCTGATTGTCCTCATAACACATAGCTGACTTTTCCCAGAGAAAGTAATCCAGGAAAGAACAGGGTCTTTTATGAATTAGCCTCATTAATCACAATCTAATTTCTGCAGCATCCTATTGGTTACAAAGGTCAACCCTAATTAATGTGGAAGGGGATTGCTTAACGGCAGAAATCCTAGGAGGTTCAAGTCATTGTGGGCCATCTTGGAAGCTGGCTACCACAGTAGGTCTGGGAGTCTGAGAATTTGCATCTCCTGGGTGATATTGATGTCCCAGGCAGTTCTCAAGAAAATCTACTGGAATGTGGGAAGGAAATACTGTCGACACTTTGAACAACGAATGTGTTGGGGACTGACCCCTGCTCAGATAAAAATCTGTGTATAACTTTTGATTCCCCCAGAACTTAACTAGTAATAG